ATGTAATTGTGATTTTCCACTGACAATAGTTTGTAGTTGTGGGCTAATATTACTTGTACCAATTATTAAAAGAGATTTAAGATGCTCATCGGTTAACTTAGATCTGTAAACATTCTTTGTGTACTTCATTTTGGAGAATGTTTCTCACACAACTAAGTAGTACCAAAAACAGAAAACAGCACACGAGCAAATTTATGCAAATTATCAAATTGTACCAGTGAAAGAGTCTTATAATTCTTATATTTGATCTTAGTTATATCACTGCACTGTAAATCAATAGTTTCCATTTGAAGTTCCGGGGCTAGGGTTTCAATGTCAGTATCAAAAGGATTTGGAGTGTCAAAATTTACCTTCAAAGCACTAAAACCTTCGATTGCAAAATCGACGGGAATCCCAGTCTCAGTAGTTTGGCTGAATATTTCACATGTTTTAAAATTTTTTATGTAATTGTGATTGAAACCGTATTATTTTCTGCCGAAACGATTTGATATTAGTATTTAAATGAGGGAGAAGCTGGTTTTCTCTTTGCAATCTCCAATTTAGTTCTTTCATATGTCAAATCGACAACCACAGCCATTTGCTATTTTGTAATTAGACAGAGGGCGATGTTTTTCATTCAAAAAAATTTCGATCACTGCTCGTAGTTAAAAAAATCGCTGAAGGACTTTTCCGCAACTAAGCCGTCGTACGACAGTATGATATGGTAAGTCATTTTCTCCCATCTCTTCAATAAACTCACGGAATTGTCGGTGATTCAGCCCAGTGGATCTGATGAAATTAACAACTGATATCTCTGATTTTAGAACTTCAGACATATCCAAACATTTTACGCATAAGGACTGTTGATGAATGATACAATGTAAGACTAATGGTTTTGAACCACCATCATTTTCTACAGCCTTTGACACAAGTGCAACCACTCCTTTATTTTTAGCACACATGTTTTTGCCTCCATCAGTTGTAATCGATTTCAAGTTTTTCCATCGAAGATATTTTTTATTAATGTCATTTTCAACTCCCTTAAAAATATCTTCCCCACTAGTCGTGCCATGAATACTATCAAAAAGTTCTTCATACACTTCTCAGCTTTTATCTACTCCTCGAATAAAAATCAACATCTGATCAATATCTGACACATCCAAGGCCAAAGAAAGCCACTCAAGATGTCCATTTTTGTCAGACAGTTGAGATGATATATTTTCTGCGATGTCTTGTACCCTCCGAGCAACGGTATTTGCTGAAAAACTGACAGTTTTAAATAAATTTACCTTTTCGGGGCACATTTCTTCGGCTACTGCATTTACGCATTCTTTGATCATTTCTTCATCGGTGAATGATTTTCCACGTTTTGCGATTTCAAGAGCCACACGAAAGCTAGCACGAGTTGCAGCCTCTTATTCAATATTGACTTTCGTAAACAAAGATTGCTGCGATTTCAATCCGCGCTTCAAAGATTCAAATTTAAAGGTTTTTAGGTGCCCCATTTTCGCAAACAAGTCTCGAAGAGGGTTGAAAAGTACATGGATTTTAAGTAGAATGAAAGGAAATTTACGAGTGGCTGCTGGGGATAACACATGGAAAATTCGATTTTCCCTAACAAAAACGAAATGTTATTTGTTGCCCATTTTTCCACACAAGCTCATCGAATGTATAAAGTGCAGTTTGGGGTCGGTAAATTTTTCTGATAAGGAAAATCGAATTTTCCATGTGTTATCCCCAAGAGCTACTCGTACATTTTATTTTATTCTACTCAACATCAATGTATTTTTCAACCCTCTTCGAGGCTTGTATGCGAAAATGGGGCACCTAAATCCTAGTAATTCAACTAGCGAATTTAGCAAGCGTGTGCTCGCTCAGGGCTCGTACTGAGCGACTAGTCTAGAAATTGTAGATAATTGCAGAAAATTTAAAACTGTTTTGGCCCTTGGAACTTACTGGAGTAATGAGTATCACCCTAAGGTTGGAAAATTTGGAGACCTTGGTCTAGACTTTTAGACCCTGAATCTCAAACTCATCGTAAGTTAAAATGTTTAAAATGGTCACAACATATTTAAGTCCTTGAGGTCCTCTTACCAATAGATTTAAATTTCGCTAAAACAAAGTATTTTACTTTTAATTATTCTATAGAGAGAATATCTACTTTTGCAGTTTAACAATCAAAAATGTAAGTCCGCATTGCTGTTTCCATTTCCACTTTTCCTTCTTCTTCACAACTTGTATAATCACCTTTTTTTCTTTTTCTTTCTGGTTCAATTTGTTTTCTTTAAAATTTACTTCTTTCTTTTTTACGCACTTCTTTCAGTTTTTCTTTTTCAATGTTTTGTTGCTCCTTTAGTTCGTAACACTCAGCCCAGCGATCACGATCAATAATGCCAAGGATATATTATCTTTTCCTCTTATTTAAAATAGGTTTTTGTTTCGGCCATGGAAATATATCATAAAAAATATCGGCCCAAGGATCGCTCAGGGGGTATCAATATTTGTGATGTTCCTGGTTCCTTCCACAAGTGGTTCGTCTTCAGTATGAATGGAAACACTTGATTCTGAAAAAACTGGAGTTTCGACACACGTTTCTCTCTCTGGTGTTGACTCATTTTTCTTTTGCAAAGAAACCGTCAATCCTTGAAACATTGGTGGAGTTTTCTGTGTGCTAATGTCTACTTTTGGTATTATTTGGTCCAAACTTTGTTCTGCAACTGTTTCATGTTGTTGTAAGGTTGGCCATTATTGGCTGTAATATGATCATCGCTATAATTTTTAGCATCTTCTGAAGCCAAACATCAAACAACATTGTTGCTTCTGGGTTTCCATCCCAATCATATTTTCTTTCTCCACTTATGGCCATGTCTACTAGTTTAGTTTAGAGACAGTTTTAAAACAAAATAGGTATGTCAAAAATATTCAAAATTAAACCTACCTTTATATTACTAATCACAATATACTTTTTTTTAAATATGTAAGATGTACGAAATATTCTTTGATTTATGAAACAACAACTCTTATAAAATTGTTTAATGGCAAGAGTATTATTCAGTGTCATCACTAGACATATCAACCGAAATTAAAATTGACAGCATAAACTGGCACCATCTAGTATTTGAAAACCAAACTAAATACAAGGTAGAAAATTGTAATGGTAACTGCGGTTTAAATTAGCGCAACAATTTTAAATAAGTAGAGAGTGTAATGTGGCCATAGCCCAAGTAGTGGCTATAACCGGTGCCAGCACCCTACAATTTTCCTATTAGGCATTTCAAACAAAATGGCTGGTCGTTTGAAATGACAGGCACATGACAGGTTACAATATGGCAACACTGGGAGCCTGGTGGTTTGATAGGATCAATGATATAAACAGTTATATAGATTGATCATCCATGGTTTTCAAAATAAACATGAGCATATGCCTTGAAGTAAAAATGTAAGCAATTATTTTTTTTTTTTTAATATTTAAAGGCTGAAAATCGCTTTTCAAACACATTTTTGCTAAACCAATTCAAATTATTGAACATTTGCCAGGTAATATAGCCGCTCGCAAACGACCTGCTTTGATACTATATATGTATCATTGACCCTGTTAATAACAACATGCCAACAGGGTTGCCATATCTAAACTGTCAGATCCCACTGGTAGCCATTTGGTCCGTATTCGAGAAATTTACCAAAAAAAATTAAAATTGTTCAAATAAAAGTTGTTTGTAATGTCAATATCCATAATTTTTGTCTTATACGTGAGTTTCTTAAAAGAGGCCATATTCGAGATAATTGAGGAACATTACAAATTTTGTATTTTGAAGATAACTCAAAAACGGATGAGAAAAACATCAAATTTTAAACCTAAGCTTTAATCTATCCTGCAGTGAGCTGATTAAATTTTGGGCATAGTCGAAGCATATGGAGGAGGGGTACTTAATATGGTATCGCTTTTTTACCTAAAGGAATATCTCTGTTATTTAAGATTGAAGAAGAAAATTCTTCAAATAAATGTTATTTGTGATATCATTCTCTATAATTTTTGTTGTATACATGATTTCTCTAAAATGGACCTTAATGAAAAAATTTGAGGAAAGGTGTAAAAATTTAAATTTTTCAATATTTTCGTTGACAATGAATACATAAAAAAAATGTTTCGAGTACGATATGTGTGGAAAATGTGTGTATTTAGTTCATCCTTTAATCATTTACAGGGGTGATTTAATTTTTGATTTAATTAGGACTGTGGGCCATATGGTCTCCCCCACCTCGTCCTTTTCAGATCTATTGTGGATTACAGGGGTGATACAATAAGTTGTACAAAATAACCGGAAAAACCTGTAATAACTAGACACGAAAGAGTCATGTGTTGGACACATCAGATTTTTTATTATATTCTGAAAACATCGGATGATTTAGTTAAGGTCGGCCACACCGACATTCGCTCCTCCTCGTTAAAACGTCTCTATTGGGTTATGCTTTCTCATTGGCTCGGTCAGTGTTCTGATTTGTTGATTGGTCGAACCAAATCGAGTCCACGTGGACTGATTATCTAACTAGTATATACATAGAGAGTTGGAGAATGTATTGGAATACGATAAACAGAGTTGTACTTACTCAGAATGTAGTGTGCAAATTTTGATTTATTAAAGGGTCGGCCATAACATTTTATGTGAATGTTCGCTTGTCCCTATCTTGAGATAGTTAAATGTTCCATGTAGGTTTTTGTAATTGTTATAAACCGATTTTAGTATTATTCAGTTTACACAATTTTAAAATTATTTATATTAAGGCATGAATGTGTGTTGGAAGAACCATTCTCAAAAATGTACTCAGTGGGGGAAATGTTCAAGTTCAACGTAATAGGGATACAGTTGATTTTCTCGCTGCTGTCCACACTTTTCTTTGATTTATCCCACCGGATATGCAGTCACCCGCGCACTTATGCAACAAGTCCCCTCAAATCTATAATTTTCCATTAATTTTGTAATCGTATGTATTTAGCTAATATATGTTTCGTTTGATTTCAGATTCAAAAGTGGAAACCGCGGAGGTAGTACGTTAAGAACCGCCGCAGGGGTGATAAACACTGGTGGAGGTGGGGGCGCTGGTGGTGGAGGCGGCGTAGGTAGGGTGTGCGAAGTACGACGCATCTATAAGACGGCACTAGTGCCGTGCAAAACGGCCCGCCGCCGGGCTCGTGGAATGAGCATGGGGCAGAAGGTATCAGGAGGAGTTAAATCTGTCAATAGAGATGCTGCCGCACCTTATAAACCAGTGATTCCCAGAGAATTGGCACAGGTAAGCTACTTATTTTCCTACCTAATGAATATTATGGTATAATGTAAGTCGTACTGTTTTTATAGGATTTTGCCCGCCCACCTAGGCTTGACATGCTCCTTGACATGCCACCCGCAATAAGGGAAACCCAACTGAAATATAGCTGGAATCAGGATGATCGATCTCTCAACATATTCGTAAAAGATGACGATAGACTTACATTTCACAGGTATTGTAACTATCAATATTTTATGTTTTTAAAAATCTCCCAAATACGCATCAATTTTTGTTTGGAAACTTTTAGAAATAGGAAATACTAGTCGACTATTTTTATTGGATCTAAATTTTGAGTGTTTTTGATATTAATTTGTCGAGATAATTTTTTTTATATCAATTTGTCGCGATAATTTTGTCAGAATCCGAAAGTTTTAGCTCGACGACTTTAATCTTTGATTATTAATGACAAAATTATGTCGAGACAGATAAGGACCCTAGAGCAAGAGTAGTCTATGTAACATCAACTTACTTTTGAGATATGGAACATTTTAGGTTTCATATTACTATAAAACAAATTTAAAACCATTTTTCCTTCTGCAAATAAATACTTTAAAAATGCAAAATGGTTTTAAATTTGTTTTATAGTATAATACCATACCTAAAATGTTCCATATCCAAAGTAAGTTGATGTTACATAGATTACTCTTGCTTCAGGGCCCTCAAATTACAAAACACGAAAAATTTAGCAACAATAGAAATAGGCGCTAATTTATTAAGGTCGAGTTATATTTAGTTAGTCCGAAATTCATCTTTTAAGAATTATTTGCTGTCACAAAACGGTTGGACCCAATCAAATGTGTTATGGTAGACCAAAATTACAAGCCAAACATATTTAAAAAAAAAATCATTAGATGATTCAATTGGTGTTTTATTTTGTGTTGTTTTCGTTTTCTTAGGCATCCCGTAGCCCAAAGTACTGACTGTATAAGAGGAAAAGTTGGTTTAACAAAAGGAATGCACTGTTGGGAAGTGAGTTGGTCGACAAGACAAAGAGGGACACATGCAGTGGTCGGTGTGGCTACAGCCGAAGCGCCTCTACACTCTGTTGGTTATCAGAGTTTAGTTGGCAGTACAGATACTTCGTGGGGTTGGGATTTAGGTAAGGAAGTTTTTTTTAAGGAAGTAAAGTTCGTTTCCATTATTATCCCTTAAGTACTTCTTATTAATTTGAAAATGTAACAATAATTTCTATAATTTTTGTAGTTTCTCTCAAAATACATTTTATCGTTAAAATTGCCACATACATGCTAAAATATTTACTTAACACATTTTTTTATCTTAATTTAAGGTCGTAACAAACTATACCACGACTCGAAAAATTATCCGGGCGTGACTTACCCGGCTCTGTTGAAACCCGACGAAACTTTCATAGTGCCGGATAAATTTCTGGTCGTATTGGATATGGACGAAGGTACGTTGAGTTTTGTCGTCGATGGACAATATTTGGGTGTCGCGTTCAGAGGTTTAAAGGGGCGAAAGTTGTATCCTATCGTCAGCGCCGTATGGGGACATTGTGAGATTACGATGAGATATATTGGAGGATTGGATCGTAAGTATTTCATTTTAATAATATATAATAAGTGTTCTTTATTGAGTTACTATACCTAATAGGCCATCGACGAAGGCCTTTAGCTTAATTATATTTTTTACAATATTTACATAAACAAAAAAAAAATATTAACACCCTATATTTGAATGATTCCTCTGATTTTAAATTAATTAGAGAGTTAAAAAACGTTTAAAGTCTCTTCGTAGTTGTCCACTTTTGTTATTTAACGAATAACCAATTATTACATTTTATGATAAACACTTTCTTAACATACATATTATTATCCATAAAATATAATTAAATAACACAGTTACTTAGGGTCTATTTATACTCCCTTATTATTAGTATTTGCATTAGTATTATGATTAAGCATTAAGTTGAACCTTCACAATGTAATGGGGACATTTATACTCGATTTATGATTAGTATTAGCATTAATATTTATGCTTAATAATTGACAGATTCAACTTTTAAATTAAATATTAAATTTCTTCTTTTCTATAAAATTAATCAATGGCGTATTTGGCCTTTGTTTTTAATAGACAACGGATAAGGATAATTGACAATACACACATGATTATGTTGTTTATATGTTTGTTCCAACAAGCTCGAAAACGATAATATTTCGGTACAAATCATGCTATGTATACAATTTTTGTGTATCAGTAGTGTTTACCGATTATAAAGTTGACAAATGACATGTTACCACGAGGAAGCAAAGGCTTCTTTTCTGTCTGATTTGTATCATATTTCTGCTTCTTTTTATCTGTTATAAATTTGAGACTTAAATCCGTTAAAATGTCCTTAATTAAACCTATTTTTGAATATTAATATTTTTAAATAAAATTAACTAGTAAAACTATTAATAAAAACACATTTAAAACTCAAATATCTTAAAAGAACACAACCGGCCTCTTACACATTTCTTCAGTAACCATATATTTTGTTGACTGCAGAATTATATCTTATTAGGTCTTAGGTTTAAAAAAGAATTACTAATACTAATTATAAAACGAGTATAAATACCTTTTTTTAATGATTTAACAAATTTAATGCTTAATCATAATACTAATACAAATACTAATACTAAGGGAGTATAAATAGACCCTTAAAATCTATTGTAATAATTATTGAATAGCTTTAAAAAATATATACTTAGCAATAATAAAATATATAAAAAGAACATAGAATGCAAAAATATAGGTTAAATTGGTCAAAAATTTGAAATAACAAAAAAAGATAGTTAAATTTTAGAATATATATTTTTTAAATTTTGAATGATTATTACCTATACAGAGTGGGCCACCGGTAACGATAATTTTTTTTTAAATCGATTTTCACGGCGCGATGTATATCAGAAAAGGCAACAATTTAAAAATAATTTTAATTATACAGGGTCCTCCAGGAAATTTATACACATAAAAGTTAGGTTTTTTTTATTGTATTTTTGTAATATAAAAAGAAAATTAGAGTGATTGCAATTTGAACGAAGTAAACCAGGATCATTATGGGTTTGTTGAGGCAACTTATTTTATTGTTATTTTTTTTAGTGATTATTGTACAGGGTGGGCAACAATTTGAAAATAATTTAATTATACAGAGTGTTCCAGGAAAGTGATACATATCAAAGTTTTTTTTATGGTATTTTATGGAATATTTGAAAACTTTTTTTAGTGATTATTATACAGGGTGGGCAACAATTTAAAAATAATTGTAATTATACGCGGTGCTTCAGGAAAGTGATCCATATCAAAGTTAAGTTTTTTTTTAATTTTATTGCATATTTGAAAACATTTAAAAAACTTTTTTTTAGTAATTATTATATGGAGTGGGCAACAATTTAAAAATAATTTCAATTATACAGGGTGTTCTAAGAAATTGATACATGTCAAAGTTAGTTTTTTTATAGTATTTAATTGGATATTGGAAAGTTTTTTTTTAGCAATTATTATACAAAGTGGGTAGCAATTTAAAAATAATTTCAATTATACAGTATGCTCCAAGAGAGTCAAAGTTGTTTTTTTTTTAATTTATTGCGTATTTGAAAACAAAAAAAAATTATTATACAGGGTGGGCAACAAATTTATAAATTTATAGAAGATGATCTAGGAAAGTAATACATATCAAAGTTAGTTTTTTATAGTATTTTATTGAATATTTGAAAACATTTTTATTTTTTTTTTATTAACTTAATATTAATTAATTTTTATCAAATTTTATTAATTTTTATAATTTTCATAAATTTTTATTATTTTTTTTTATTTTCATTATTTTTTATTTATTTTTACGATACTCCGCATTTCCTCCCCCTCCTTAAAATGTGAAAACCCAAAAATCTTGAATTATGTCATTATTTACTATTGATGTGTAACTACAATTTCAATTTTCAAGTTCTTACCTTTAAAAAATCGAAAGTCGTATGCAAACTTTCACCTTCCTTAAGGTGTAAAAATCCAAATACCCTAAAACATGTCATTTATTTTTGGTGAGTAGCTACAATTCCAATTTTCAATTTCCTACTTTTAAAAAAATCGGTACCCCCTTTCCCTCTCCCTTTCCCTATTCCCCCCTTAAAATATGAAAAATCCAAAAGCCTTCAAACACGCCATTATTTATTTGTGATGAGTAGCTGTAATTCCAATTATCAAAAAAATCGATACTTCCATACAAACTTTCAACCTCCATTTCCCCAATCCCTTAAAATGTGAAAATCCAAAAACCCTGAAACACGTCATTATTTATTTATGCTCAGTTGCTGTATTTCCAATTTTCATGTTTCACTACCACTATGCAAAAAATCATGTCTGATCCCTTGCTCTGTGGAAAATAAAAACAAAGTTATCCCACGGGAACCGTACATTTTTCCGAAATAAAAAGTAGCCTATGTGCTATTTCAGACTAATCTATCATTGTGCCAAATTTCAGCCAGATCCGTTCAGCTGTTCTGGCGTGATTGAGCAACAAACAATATTCAAGCAGAATACTTTTAACTCTTCTTTAAAATCTCCAAAAATAAACGTTTATCATTGTTTCTTCTACCTTACATCTTTATTATTAAAAATAAAACCGAATTAAAAAATCTAATTCAAACCAGAATGAAATTCCACTTGCTGTTTGCCAGCACGTCATGCGAAATTTTATCAAAATTCGCCGTCTACCGGATGTCTACGCAACCTATATGTCAAACGATGTTGTATCGATGAACTAACTTACACCGCCATCTATTAGGAATTCATAAATACACACTATTGTCGTATAATAAACATTTAATTTGCAATAACAAATATCGAGGTCAATAATTGAGATAAAAACTACCCTATCTTTTAAGTTAGACCAAATTACAAATAGTTACGAAATTTGATCAAAATCGGTTCAGTAGTTTCGGAGTTTGTCCCGAACATACATTGTTACACGAGATTTTTATGTATAGATACGATTATATCTTACTTGTATAACTTACTTGAAACGGACTAAGTTGAGAATTGAATAAAATAGGAATTACTTCCAGCTTTAAATTCGCTTTTCTCGGCAGAATTCATAACAAAATCATAATTTATAAAATGTTTCCAATATATTTTAGTGTTTTTGTAATAATATTCAAAGGTAATATACCATGACCTTGATAAATAGTGAGCTATTTTTGTTGCGTCTAAATCTCGAGAATATTTTAATATCAATTTGATGAGACATAATTTTGGCATTAATCTGATGATTGGAGCCCGAGAGCTTTAGCTCGATGGCTTTAATCAATTGATAATGCCAAAATTATGTCGAATCAAATTGTAAAATATTCGAGTAATTTAGCATCAATAAAAATAGCAGACTATTAATCAAGGTTGTGTTATATTTGGGACGACTATTTCACTAGACGAAATATTGGCTATTTCTTTGGCGAAATAGTAGCTAATATTTGGTCTAGTGAAATAGTCTACATTAATATATGTTTTTTATTTACTTACCCTTGTAACGACGTGGAACTCCTCCAAATGTATGCTTTAAGGCAAACAAAACATTGAATAGTAATTTTTAGACTTACAACTATTGAAAAACATTCTAGAAACTCTAAAAACTTTAAAAATATGGCCTGATAATAAAAAATCACACAATTCCCAAGCGCTAGTTGACAGTTGTGACGCCCCTATTTAAAATAGACAAATCAAATCGAAGACCCAGGAAAAAGAGAAAGTAATAGAAAAAAGAGTAGATACTATCTTCAAACAAATTCAGACAGTTACTTATCTATATTTCATTTGTTTATTTGAGTTTGTCGCATTCAAATTTGACAGCTCTTGCAAATTAAGGCGATTTTAAATCAGTTACTAGAAATGTGACCAAGTCAAGTGTGGTCAAGGTTCTTACGTCATTGTAATGACGTTCCTAATTATCTGAATTAAAAATGTTTGGTTTATATTGACACTAACTTGACAATGCGCATGACATTGTTAGATATCGAGAATTTTGGTTTGTGTATTATGTATTGTAGTTAGGATTTGGTTTTGAATTTGTAAGGATAAAAAATAAATATTTGCTTTGTGCACTGATCATGGATGAAGAGAAAATTGGTGTTGTAGTTGCTTTGGCCCCGGAAATTTTATGAAATATTTTTCCGTTACTCAATAAATCTTGGCTATCTTGAAAATAAATTGGCTTTCCATTTACAAAAACTTTAAATACGTCCATACGGCCAGTCTAGTACAATTGTACTTGATCTAGTACATTATTTAAGAATATGGTAATCTAGTACACTCGAAGCAAAATCTAGTACTTTTTCTTTTTTTTTTAGCCTGTTTCCATTTGGACGGGTAAAATATATTGTTGTGTTCCGTTCTTTTTTGCTCTTCAATGAACCAAACCATCGCAATTCGAAAAATATGGTACAATTCATAGAATCTGGTACATTTTTATGGAATCTGGTACATTTCTCAGTCAAATCTGGTACATAAAAATATATTGCCAGACGTGTCGCTTTAGGCTTAATTATCCCGCTTTTTAACTTGGTGGCACGCGTTACGTCAAAGTACGAAAATGCCCTGTATTTCACCTAAATGCTACGCCTTTTAAATCTAGTTATATATAAAGAAATTTTTCACAATTTTTTTGAGAAGCTCCTCAGAAAAGGGACCTGATGGTTTATAAAAATGTAAGCGGAGGACTTTTTTTAGATCTCCACAAAGAAAGCAGCTTATTTTATAAAAATACCTGTTTTTTTAACCTGATCCCCTGTCGTCACCGTTGTCCACTTATCCCTTTCGTAAATCTGGCAACCCTATACTCAGCCTTTCTTACAATTTTACTAATTTAATTTAAAAATTAAAAAGTAAAAGTTTTACATTTGTTATTTCATTTGACATTTCATACCTGTGACCATGTTTTTACTGTAGTCATATAAATCTTGACCATTTCAAGACACTCTTCAATGTGACATTGTTTTTTATTTATTTCAGGGTAGTCATTCATATTCAACATATAGTATCTGATTTAAAATCGCCTTTATTGTTAAATACATTTTCAACAAGTTATAAAAGTAATTTTAAAAACCGACTTCAAAATCGTGCAGATACCCTTAAAAATTGAGATTTTCGATCCTGATCACTTGTATACGGGACTACCCTTGAGGTATCCCATTTCTAACAAAAAAAGAATCGTAGAAATCGGACAACACGTGGTAAAGAATTATGGCTGAAAATACATAAAAAAAATTAAGAGTTTGATGATTTTCCCATGGGCGCAATTATTAAATTTTGACCAAATTTATATGTGACCACCCCTGAAATACTCTCTTTCTAACAAACAAAGAATTATAGAAATGGGACAATGTAGTAAAGAATTATCGCTGAACATACATAAAAAAAATATGTCGACGAATTGAGAATCTCCTCCTTTTTCGGAGTCGGTTAAAAATGCCGTAACATTTACTGAGGTTCAAAAGTCTAGGGCTATAGCAAAATTGGATGAAAACCAGATTTACAGGAATTAATTTCAGTAAAAAATCGCATGACAACCAAAGAACGTTCACGTTTGGTTTGCGCCAAATGTACTCGACAGACTACAGACATTCCTGATGGAATATTAAAAATAGAGCTAATAAATAAACGACACGTTTTCAATATTTAAATATATCATACAAGTGGTGGTTTAATATTACTTTTGTGATTATTTATCTTTGTATGTTTTTTTTATTTAATTATTATATTTCATATATATATTTTTTTTTAGCCGAGCCTCTGCCGCTTATGGATTTGTGCCGCCGCGTAATAAGGCAACGCCTGGGCAAACAACTTCTGGAGGACAAAGTAATGAATCTGCAGCTTCCACAAGCATTACAAACTTACCTGCTTTACCGTGATAGAAGATAATACCAAAATATGCATAGTGCAGTGAACTAAAATATAACATGGATTTTTTTATTTAAAAAAAAAAACTTCATTTGCAATCAATACAAAAAATTTTAAAAACGCGTACAAACTGTCTATATATACGAAAAGACGACTGGTTTTTTGAATTTTGCAATTATTGCTCTGTGATGTGATGGTAGTTAATGTGAACAAAAAGAAAAAAACGGACTTCTCGTACTGATAAACAGAAGGATTTTTTTTAGTGAGTTTTAGGTTAATATAACTCAGGCATAGAACGAATGAATCAACTCATAATCCCAACCAAAATGAGATTATAATAATGATTTTTTTTTATTCATTTTTTCGAAATGGACAATTTGTTCGGTTCGATAATTATGTGAAATTTCTGACGCCATAGTTTCTAGACGAATTTGTTCAAACAAAAAAAAATATAAAAGAACGTACAGAGCCGCTTCTGAAATTGAAATGATGGAAAAGAGATCTGTAGAGTTGAATACAGGGTTTGAGTCACGACGAAAATGGCAAGCAGCCATTAAAATTTTAAAATTGTTATAGAGGTTCAGTGTAGTTAAATTCATTACATACCCCCATTATTTAAAAATCCCGTCCAAGTCCCATTCTAACCCCCCCTTAGTGAACAGCAGTCTCACATAGTTCACTCATCTTTTTTATTTCTTCATTGATTTTACTTTGAAATTGCCGTAAAATAAGGGGGGGGGTTAAAAAATTTGTGACAATTTGAACCTGCTATAAAAACTCAGCAATCTTGAAAAAAATGAAATTTATTTCTATACATATTGGTTTGGAGAAAAAAAAGAAGTAAGTAATTGATATTGTGAATAGAGTAAATGCTATTATTATTCTTCGTCGTGACTCATCTACTTGTTAAGTATGAAATTTATTAATACTTCCAATATTAATCAATTCTGGGGGTGTTCAACTTGCAACTGTACTTTTGAACTCCAATTTAATGAGATAATAATTGACAGAATGATATATGGCATGCGAAACATTTAATTGACTGACGAAGTTTGCAACAGCCCATTTGTTAGTCTGTTAGTTAATATGTGTCATTGCTGATGATCTGTTTTTTTTTAATCTCATAGTGTGTAAAAATTGAAAAACAATAGTTCAAAATGTCAAATTTTGATCGTTACAAGGGATGTTTCTCGTTCGGTGTTAATTTTATTTTCGTGTAAGAATTGAAGTGAAATTTTTTGCTTGGATCAATTTGTATATATTTGTTTTCCAAAGAAATGTTTGCCTTAATTAAAATGGGTAAATAAAGGGGATTGTGTGATACCTTTTTTAAAATATTTACCAAAAACTCAAAAATAAGGTAGTTTTTAAAATAAAAAAAGAAACATGTCAACTTTTATTGGCAAAAGAACAAATCGTCATATAAAATGTATACTGAAAATTCAAACCTCTAAAGCTCAACAACCGTATATTATTCTTTTTTAAATAGGTAACATCATTTGAAAGGTAACTTTATGGATCATTTAAAAATATTTCATTGTGTTTCTTCTGTTTTTAACGACCTTTATCGGGATAAAACACTATTATGTATTGTAAAGTGTGACACTTTATTTTAAAGCTAATTTTATTAGTAATTTATTGCACTTGAACTTAAATAATTCAAAAATCGTGCAGATATCTAACGTTAAGAAATAAATAGATGGTAGATATTAGGCCTGTTCATACCGCTTTCCTTGTTTGTATAAAAATTATGAAGATTTGTAGATATGACAACGTTGCCTTGCATTTCTGGGGAAATATGGAGAGCACTTACCGATGATTTGTATGTAAAGCGACATTGCTAAATTTCAAGCCACTTTCCCTATTTTTGAGGAAAAATTATGACCTGTAGATATTACAACGTTACCATGAATAAGAATCACCGACAGTTTTGCCATTCGATATTCAGTTTCTGGGAAAATATGAAGTAATTTATGATGATTTTATGTAAAGCGACGTTGTCGTATCTAGGAATCTTCAGAATTTTTCCTCAGATCTGGGAAAAATAGGAAGTGGCGTGAACTATCTATTTATAAACTTAAATCGCGATAACCAAATCATTAAATCACAAATAAAATTTCACACGCATTGTAAAATACGGTATTTTATCCCCCTAGAGGGCGCTAAAATTCACGCCATTTTCCCTATTTTTTCCAAGATTTAGGGAAAAAATATATAGATATGGAAACGTCGCTTTGCATAAAAACCGCAGACAGTGTTACCATTCGCTATTTAGTTTCTGGAGAAATATCGAAAGTACTTTCCGATGATTTTTATGTAAAGTAACATTGCCATATATACGAATCTTTATAATTTTTCCTCAGATCTAGGGAAAAATAATGGAAGTGGCGTAAACAATCTACTCACGAACTTCAATCACAACTAAATCATTAATACAATTTCACACGCACTTTACAATACGTAATAGTTTTTATCCCGCTAGAGGGCGCTAAAATTCAAGCCACTTTCCTTATTTTTCCTATATTTGAGTAAAAATGAAGATCCTTAAATATGGCAAGGTCGCTTTTCATAAGAATCGTTGACAGTGTTGCAGTTCGGTATTTCATTTCTGGAGAAATATGAAGAGTACTTACTTTCCGATGATTTTTATTCAAAGCGACTTTGCCATATCTACGATCTTTGTAATTTTTCCTCAGATCTGGGAAAAAACATTAAGTGACGTGAACTATCTACTTACAGATATAGCAATCAACTAAATCATGAAATCAGTAATAACATTTCACATGTACTTTTTAATACGTAACAGTTTTTTATTCCACTAGAGGGCTCTAAAATTTCCTATTTTTCGTGGATTTGGGGAAAATGGTCGTAGATAGGACAACGTCGCTTTGTATAAGACTCGCCGACAGTGTGTCCATTCGGTCTCTAGTTTCTGGGGAAAAATGGAGAGTACTTTTAGGTGATTTTTATATAAAGCGACGTTGCCATATGTACGGATTTTCACAATTTTTGCTCAGATCTGGGGGAAAGCAGAGGAAGTGATGGGAACTAACTGTTTACAAAACTTTAATCGCATTAAACTAAATTATTAAATTACTAATAAAATTACACACGCACTTTACAACACGTATCGGTTTTTTATCCCTCTAAAGGAGCGCTAAAATTTACCTATTTTTCTAAATTTGGCGGAAAATGATGAAGATCTGTGAAATATGGCAACGTGGCTTTATAAGAATCTTCGATAGTGTTGCCATTCGGAATTTAGTTTCTTAGGAAATATGGAGAGTACACAGTAATTTTGATGTAAAGCGACTTTGCCATTTTTGCTAATCTTCATAATTTTTCTTCAGATTTGGGGAAAACAGAGGGAGTGGCATGAACTATATATTCACCAACTTTAATGGCAATCAACTAAATCAATAAATCTCTAATAAAATCTCACACTCACTTTACAATACGTAACAGTTTTTTATTCCGATAGAGGGCGCTAAAATCAAAAGCATCTCAATGAATGGCCATATTGCTGAATTCTAGATAAATATACCTTTATGACGTGTTATTTGGCCATATTTGGTATTTGAAGAAAATAAGAGGTTGGTACCGGACTCGAGGGTTGGATTTCAAAGTATGAATTTTATAAGACAGTTTGTCCCCTTGCCAATAAAAGTTGACGTGTTTTTAAGTCTGAGTTTCTGGGAGGTCAAGTTATTAGATATTTTCTAACAGCATTACCGAACCGTTCGAAAAATATCTGCGCTTGAGTAGTTGGCCCAGCACAGATAAATAAGGACCAGTTCTATACTGCTGTTGGAACAAACTTATTGTTGGTAGAAAAATAATGGTGGGCTCTTTCGTTGGAAAACGTCATATCGTAACTGTGAATAGGAATCTCTGAGTTACTATTAAAACATACATGGGCCTTTTATCGATTATACCACTTGATTTCTTAGGTGATAACTAACGAGCCATCTTGTATACGTTTTGGCAATTGGCACACATTTTTCAATAAAAAAAATGCTGTAAAAATTGCATCTAAAATTCATTTTTAAAGATATTTTTGATAAAATTAAAGATTCCATAACTGATTATACAGGGTGTCCCAGCTTTTATTAGACAGCCTGCAACTTCTATTATAATAATAATAATAATTAGAATTTAGAATATCAAGAACTTCTGGTTACACCGGAAGTGACCATGACATTTGTTTTTTCAAATATATCTACAATTCCGAATTTTCTGATAATTTGGAGGTTACAGTTATTATGTATCTCATGTGAAAATGAAAATAGTACAATTTGATAAATTCTACGGACATTTTATAAAAAACAAACATCCAATTTATTTTTTGGAAATTTGTATGGGAAACAATATAAGTTGTCCATTTTCTCTATATAGATATACAATGTGACCCACCCAATAAGTTTTATTCTTTATCTAAAACGTAAAATGCAATATTTAAATTTTCATAGTTGCAAAATATATTAATTACAAAAACTGAACTATGATTTTTACTTTTATGTATCCAGTAAGGAAACTATAGGAATCGTTATTTTTTTGACATTTTGGGGGTTCCCCGAATCCGTACTTACAGTTTTTGTTTTAGTTAACTCTGATTGAAATGGCGCCAAACCGTTCAATATTTTTTTTTTTTTTATTTATTTAGATGAATTTGACAAAAAGGTTTTACAGTCCCATATACAAAATGATAAAAAAAAATAGACAAATATATATATATATAAATAACTCCAGAGTAGGTGTGTGATATTTAAAGCATCTTGAAGAAAAATGTTTATAAAAAAATGTACCCATTAATTACTTACATGACTAACACCCAAAGAATACCAATAATTTTTAATAATCTAATAATCAATAAGATTGCAATCACAAAAAAATATCCAAACAGCATACGAATTAAAGCAAGGGAAATACACCATCAGAAGGAAAATATTTGCAGCAAGACATAACATGAATATTTAAAGATGATACCGATATAATTTATATTGGTATATCTTCGAATTTACATGAATAGTCTTGAGAGCTTGTAACAAATTTTTCCTTCATAACAGTTTATTACCCATTGGTTTATTCGTATGCTGTTTGGGTATTTTTTGCGATACATTCGAAATTGCAGTTTCATTGAGTATTAACAATTGTTGGTATTTTTTGGGTGTTCGTCATGTAAATAATTATTGTGTACATTTTTTTATGCATTTTTCTTCAAGGTGCTTTAAATATAACAGAGTTACCTATTAGAGTTTATATATTATTTTTTTTTATCATTTTGTATATGCGATTTATAACCTTTTTGTCAATTCATCTATATAAAAATTAAAAACAAAGCACAAAAATTAATGTTAAACGGTTTGGCGCCATTTAAATCGGAGTTAACGAAAAAAAAATTGTATTTTTTTATATCTCCCTCTTTTATGTTTGAATACTTGATAGTTTATAAAATGTTGATAAAAATATCTATATTTTACGAACTATCAAGTATTCAAACATCAAAGAGGAGGATATAAAAAGCATATATTTTTTTACGTAAACCCCGATTGAAATGGCGCCAAACCGTTTTAACATTATTTTTTATGGGTTTTTTAAATTTTTATTTAAATGGATTGGCAAAAAGGGTTTATAATCGCATATACAAGATGAAATAAAAATAAACAAAAAATATATGTATAAATAACTTTAATATGTACCTCTGTGATATTTAAAGCATCTTGAAGAAAAGTGTTTGAAGAACATGTACACAATAATTATTTACATGACTAACACCCAAAGAATACCAACAAATTGTTAATAATCAATGAGATTGCAATTACGAATGTATCACAGAAAAATATCCAAACAGCATAAGAATAAACCAATGGGTAATAAACTGTTATGAAGGACAAATTTGCAATAAGCTCTCAAGATTATTTATGTAAATACGAAGATGATACCAATATAATAAAAAAAATAAAAAACATGTTTGTCGCCACTTTCAATATACGAGTTGGAATTTTATCTACATTTTACATACTATCAAGTATTTGAACATCAAAAATTATGTTTAAAATTCGTATATTAGGCTATGTATTAGGTACATATTAAGTTATATTCGGAAAACTAGTCATAGGATCCATCCAATTTTGCCAATATCTCAAAATCCAGTCATGAGATAGGATTGGGTCCTTGGACACTTTTGATAGTGACATCAAGTAATTTAACATCAAAAATTTATACATTTTGACGGTACTCCCTCCCGTTTGCATAAGAAAAGTGCGTAGTCCTTTGTGTAGGAAACAATAAATTTCAATTAAAATGAGAAAAACCAAACATGGTAGATTTTCACACTTTTATTTAAAAATTATATGTCATTTGTTTCGAAGTATGTACAGCTTCTTCAAATGTGACTA